GCAGGGGGGAGGGGGCGAGCACCTTCGCATTGCCTGGGGCTGCTGAGGGCGGAACACAGGTGTGCGGGGCAGAGTGTGCACACCTGGGCTGGCTGACTGCCTTGTGCACACTGGTCCACTTCCGCTCCTTGCATCTGGGCGTTTTGCCCTTACAGGTTCTCAGTTCACACTCACTTGGCTCAAAAGCATGCTGGGTCTTTGGTAGAGTATGGAAGTGGGTAGAGTTGGCGTGTTGGTAGGTGACTAGCAAAAACATGACATCTGCTAACTTAAAAAACGAGAGCCGGGCAGCAGTGTCTCTTGCTACTCAGGAGGCTGAGATCTGAGGATGAAGGTTCGAAGCCAACCTGGGCAAGAAAGGCCATGAGATCTTATGTCCAATTAATCACCAAAAGTCAGAAGAGGTGCTGTGGCTCAAGTGGTAGAGCACTAGCCTTGAGCAGAAAAGCTCAGGGACAGCGCCCAGGCCCAGAGTTTAAGCCCCAGGCCTGGCACCAGTACAGATAAAACCTGGAGAGACTTGCTGGGAACATACAAGCGGTTCAACAAAACTGCAGGGGCCAAAGCTGGATCTCAGAAAGGCGTGCAGTGCACCCTGGCCTGCACATCAGGATCTTGGAAAGGGGCGCAGAGCACCCTGGCCTGCGCGTCAGAGCCTGCCCAGCCCGCAGGCCCTCCTTGCCCTCCCTTCCTTCTGCTGGTGCGGGCCTGCCTCAGGCCCCTGTGCTGGGAGGGAGGCCAGCGATGCCGCTGCTGTGTCCATGGTGTTCCCGGGTCTCAGCAGCCAAACACAAGCACTGTGCCCCCCACCCCGAAGGTGCGGGCTGGGGGGGTCGCTCTGTCTCTACTTAACCGGGCCCCGCCCAGTGGGGCTGTGGCCAGCAGCTTGGGGCCCATGTGAGTGGAGTGAGCACCCTGCAGGGGTATGGGGTCAGTGGCAGGGAGTGCTGGGGTGCCAGCCCCGGCAGGGGGTGGGGGTGGGGTTTTCCCTGAGCCTGGGTCCAGGCCCCAGGGCCTACCTTGTGCTCTAGTCCTACTTCCTCCCAGCCCGGGGCAAGGCACCCCCGCTCCGCCGCCCCCCTCCGCGCCCCCCCCCCCGGCTCAGGAACTTGCCCCTTGACCCCAGATTGGAATCCAGAACTACTCCACCACCAGCAGCTGCCAGGCGCGGGCCACCCAGGTGCGCAGCGACTACGGGACGCTGTTCGTGGTGCTGGTGGTCATCGGCGTCGTCTGCTTCCTCATCATCGTGCTGGGCCTGCTCTACAACTGCTGGCAGCGCCGGCTGCCCAAGCTTGAGCGCGTGGTGAGCGCGGCGGGCGCAGCCGGGGTGCGGGGTGCGGGCCGGGCGGGTC